AGGGGGGGGGCCCCCCCCCCGGCCAGCAAACGAAGATGTCGGGGACCATTTCTCCGAGAGATAGGCTGCAGCTCTGGGTTAATACATTTTTGCTAAAGCAAAAGGAAAACTCAAGTAGCGTAACCGCTACCTTTCGTGACAAACCTATCTCGATTTGATATTGCTTCTGGGTGGGCTGCATGACAAGCTGGCAAGGGTTTGGACAGATCAATTCTCATGTTAGCTAAAAGCACTCAAACACATCCACCATTTCTGCCAGGCGCCATCCTCAGATTCCTCTGTTCAACACCTAAGGCACTACCGCACTACCAGCCAGCAAGCCACTCTTGTGCTGATCAAGTTGAGTCTGGCTGAGGCGAGATCCCACACCGTCAGGTGTTGTGACGCTCTGACACTTGTGACGCACAGTGACTCACTCTCTAATACGAAAAACACAAAAAAAAGCACAGTGATCCCAGTTTCCCCAATGGTCTCCACCTCCGAACTCATCTGTGGGCTGGAAGACACCCTTGGGCTGCTCGCCGCAGGCGCAGCAGGCACCGAGAGCGGAGCGAGCGGAGCCTGTCCGTTCTCTCCCCCGGACGCGTCCGGGCGTGGGAGATGGATGCGCCACCGATCGAACTTCTGGGGGAGATCCTCTGAGGTTAAGTTCGATCGAAGCTGAAGCGTGATTAGCTGCGCCTTAGAACAGCAGATGGGAGACCATCCTTGGCCACACCAGAGTGCACTGGTGAATCCCAAGAACTGCAGGAGACTGATTCCATCCAGCCATGTGAAGCCATGTGAAGCCATGTGAGGCTACGGTTTTGGCCACCAATGGCCCAAACTGCGTGCCAATGAAATCGTTCGTGAAGTAAAGCAAAACACATCCTTCTTCGTAAAAAGGAGTACCTTGGTCCCAAATGCTCGAGTGGACTTCGTGTCCTCTACCAAAGTGGACCCGTACCCGTAGCACGTGATGGATTCTCTGGGAGGATTTGAACGTCTTGGCTTTTTGGTGGGAGACAAAACACATGTAAAATCATATAATCACATACATAGTCGGAATAGTTCGACCCAAAAAAACGAACTGGATGAAATCTACAACAACCACCACAGCAACAACAACAACAACAGCAGCAGCAGCAGCGCTGTTGGGAAAACTCTTGAAAACTACAGAAACACCAATCCCTTTTGGGTGTCTCATTGGAACCATCTAGGTCTAGTCTTGGATCACCAAAGGTTTACTCGGAGTGACTCTGATGCCATCACTTCCCTGCTGGTCCCTGACGCTCCTGCGGCTTCTTCCATTGAAGCATGAATGTGAAAGCGAGACCCAGGAAATCATAGGGTCAATCAGCTTTCATCACCTCATGATCCCCACAAAAATGCACACATGCTTGGGATGTCACATGAATGGCCTTCTGTTTCAGGGTATGTCTTAAGGTATGAATTCCCGTCCCGAGGATTCCAGGAGCGTCTGCGTGGTTTGACACCCGACGAACCCCTGCGGGATGAAAACAACACGGAACTCGCCTTGGAACCCATCGACCTGATGGTTTTGGGCCGTAGTACGCGGCCGGCGGTGCGGTTCGGAAAAATGGAATCCGAAGACCCAAAAGGCAAAACAATATATATATATACATATTAATATATATATATATGTTCATGAAGGTATGTAGAGGTATGTAGATTCATGGTCAAGCTGATCTGAATGTTGCTTTAGATGAGATATTAGTTAGAGAGAATCCCTTAGATGACATGTAGATCAAATACTACCGCTTTGGGTGGAGAATGACAGTGACTTACTCGTCTTTTCTGTACTACATAAAGGGTGACCCCGCTTAGTTCAAGGACAATGCCTATGGTTGGTGATTTCCCCCAATTGGGGATAGCCTCATAAAACCAAATCTGATTAGAAGGCAACATACTCTGGAAACATAATATCATAATGTCCGACCCAATGTGTACTCTTGACTCCGACAGGTTCCCAAGCTGATGACATTTCAGGTTGCCTGGCAACACCGGTCAAACTGGACTCCCATCCTTTCGGTCCAAGTAGGTGCGTGGTCATCGCCCCAGCTAGTAGGAACTGAAAACACACATATTCACATCCACATGTATTGAATAAGAAGCATCATATAATATCATATATAAATCGATATATTATGATGTGGATACATCATGTTTAAAGGATGTTTCTGGTGTACTTGATTGATTGTAACTATTATATATAGAGTACACATATACATATATTGATATACTTAATTATACATTATAATTAACAACAATCATAAATATATATATACACGTGCTTTGATCCCAAAGCTTCCGTCGCACTCTCCCTCCACCAAGTGCCCAACGCCAGGGGCGGCGACCCACTGGACTCGTCCGATTCGTTGGTGGCGCCCGGCGCCACGCGCTCCTGACCAGTCGCCACCCGTCCGTGAGATCGGAAGAGTTCCACGTGGGGAGATGACGAAAGGGTGTACAACACCCTGTATATTTCCACCCTGTAGCAGTTTCATATGTAATGATCATATATATATAACATTGTAACAATAAAGACTGGATATAGACTGGATTTTATATATAGATCTTAAACAAAAAAAAACTGCACATACGTACAATTAGATACATGTTCGTACAATATCTTGTGATGGGCCAATACTTCAAGCAGCAATTTGTGTTTCAGAAGCTGCATGAGGACTGGAATATATGCCGCCCCATTGACCTCTGAAACCACCCACATGTAGGTAAAGATTCCATGGACGTCCATGGAGTGTCTGGGATATTTATATCTATAACTATAATTCTGATACATAAGTATACATGTATACATCTTCTCAGTCGGTGAATCGGCCATTTGTCTCAAAGGAAGAACGATGAAACAAAGTTACAGTAAGATAGGCAGGACTCCACATTCTGAGCAGTGACCCACTAAAATCAGAGCAATTCTGCAACAACTTGGATCCCCCAACACAAATGTGCTGAACATCAATTGGAGTATCAATTGGTGATACAGTCGACAGTGTTACAACAAATGATACAACACCATCCTTCACAACACCGATCCCAAATGGCTTCTCTGTGAGTGGTTGGATCTCACACTGACGATGGGCTGCGCTGGATCCGAGTGGCTGGGGGCTGCGCGGTTGAGATCCGATCCGGGATCTAGAATAGACCCTCCAATAGATAGAAATGAACCATGACAAGTATAGATCTCCACCAACAATGGCTTGGAAAAGCGTTTCTACCATGTTCTACCTGTTTGGGAATGACTATATATAGTACTGGGTGGTTCAGTCGCACTTCGGAATTCGCGTCGCACTCTCCCCTCTCCTGTCGCCCAAAAATGCCCGTCGTCGCTTTGGGTAGTGCCGTGGTCGGCCACCTGGGATGCGACACGTGCGTCGCCCCTGTCGCCCGTCTGTGGTGCCAAGAGTTCCACCTCATGGCGGACCATACAGTACTTCCTTCCTCCAATTGGCTGGGCGACTGGATCGCACCCTCCGAGTTGGTCGCTGTTGTTTTTTGTTTCGGTCGATCCTGGCCTACGACCTTCGAGTGCCATGGGTACGACCTTCTGCAATGGGTACGACCCAAGCACTGGGGCGCAACGAAGCCCCAGGGCTCCGTCCGGTCATCCACCCGCGTCACGGCCAGAAGCAGCGAGGTCTCGCCAGGGGGGGGGGGGTTGATGTGGGGAGCGATGATCCGTCCAGCAAAAAAGACAACAGCTCGTGTCGGTTGTGTCCCATAGATCATTCAAACGCATGTCGAATGGTTTGAGCAGGTATTTGTTCCTTAAATCATCTCTCTTGATCTTGACCCAGCTTTCGCTCGACCGGCAAGTAGATGCCATGTGCATGCCATTCATCACCTGAACCTACACAAAACTGAACAAAAAGCCAGCCGTCCTATGCTCCAGTCCATGTCTCTCAACACACGAGTGAGTTCATGTGACCAAAGGATCGTCAATTGCCAGGTTTGACCCGGTGTCGCCTGGAGCGATGGCCCGGTTGCACCCCTTCAACCAGGTATGCTCACCTAAACCCCTTGTTCCGCAGGAATAAAAAGGTCAAGCCACGGCGTCGATGATGTCTCTGCCCTGGAAGAAAAGGCGGAGAGACTTGCGTCGAGACTTCCATGAATGCGTGCCATGGATCTGAAGAAATCAACTGGGTACAGCCATTGGGTCTCTTCATGTTTCTGGAAGGAATATCTCTTACTAATCCAAAGGATTGATTGACAAAAGCCCAGTAAGCTACACGTAAGTCTATATAGTTTTGGGACTGCAAATACTTGACTGAACATCCAACTGTCCTTGATGGCGCATGTACTTCTCCGATG